CTTCCTCTGAGCTCCTGACTCTTTCTGCAGCCTTTCCACTGCTACTCCTTGGCTCATTCTTACAGCTGTTGTCTTTCAGCCACACCCCTGATCTTAGGGTAAGTAAGATCAAACACCTGGCCTTCCGGATAAGGGCCAAAAAAATTTCGGAGGTCCCGTGTGTAAGTTGTGCACATTAAAGATCCATTGGTGGCCCTAAAATCGATAAGAGTAGGCTTCGGCCGCCACCTGGGCAAAATTCAAAATTAATTCCTACCAAACTGAAAGTGCTTATTGATGTGTCCCGCGCTCTTACCTGACCTTATAAAGTCACGAGCGCCGTAAAACACCAATACATTTTGTGATTGAATTCATTCATTCATTCATTCATTCATTCATTCATTCATTTTGTTCTTCGTTCATTCTGACATACTATTATTCTGTTACAATACTCATTTATATATTTATTTACACACATGTGTTGCTTTAGTCTTTTTTTTTTTTCATATAGCTATCATGTTGTCTATCGTATTAATTTAAGTTCTTAATTACATGTGTACATGTATTTATTAATTTAAGTTCTCAGTTGCATGTATTCAGAAACAACTACGTGCACTTTGCTGTAGCCTTGAAAACGGAGGCAATAAAAGATTTTTCTTTTGCAAAAAGATCACGACATATGATTTGCTACGGTAGCGATAGTGCATACAAAATCGCCATAATCATCGTAAAGTGACAGATCTGAAACGGCGATCAGGGTTCTCCTTTCAATCCTCCTCTCGGATGCTCTAAAAAATCCTATATTGTCCCGGCGCCTCCCCGTCACCCATCTTTTCAGGTTTTCCAACTAACTTCCGGTGGATCTGCCTCGTTTATCTTCTATGTTTCACATGAGAGGAAGATATTCACAGCCTTTATGCCGAATCATGGGTCTAAAAAAAAAACTTGTTGCTTCCTGTCTGTTCCTATTAGTGAGTGGATTACGAGACCCTCTGTAAGTACTTTTCTCGTTTGATTTCTTTTCTGTACATAACATTCTTTTAAAAATCTCCAAAGGAACCACATTTCTGTTGCCTCTATTTTGTTTTCACTACCTTTGGAAATTGTCCAGCATTCATGGCCGTATAAGCGGCTCCCTGCACAGAACCCATATTTTTGTAATCATTGAGCTGTTTCTATTTTCAGAATCTGACTCATTTTATTGAAGCTATATTTAGCTATTGCAATTCTACGTTTCATTTTTGTGGAACATTTGGCATCGTATGTAATGACGTATCCAATAAATTTGACGTGCTGAACTTGTTTGATCTTTTCACATTTGTTTATGATATTACAACTAGGTTTACTTCCTTGTTAGATATTACCATGCATTCTGTGCATTCATAAAAAGAAAAAAA